GGTACTTGGTAAATACTGACTGAATGGGGTGGATGGGTGGATGGATGGATGGATGGATGGATGGATGGATGGATGGATAGATGGATGGGATTTTGAGTTTATATCATGAAAAGTCACCCCCTTCTACCTCTGCCTTAGTTCTAGGTTGGGAGAGCCTTCCAGAATGACTCTGACTTTTCTTTGGAGCAAAGCCCTTCAGATGTCTGACACTCGCCGATGACCTAAGCCACACTTTCTAGTCTTGATTTTTCCATAATAGCACCTCACATGGTCGAAGTTGATAGCAACCATACATCCCAACCTCCACACTCACACGTGTTCCCCAGGGACATGGAATTCTAGGATAAAGTACCTGTTCGCCGGGACCTTGCAGGTTACCTCAGACAGGAAACTGAGGCACTGTCAGTGAAGAAGACATGGCTTTGCAACGACCCAGTTAGTCGCTGTCAGACTCTGACTCGAGATTCGGATCTTTCCCTTTTCCCACTCCCCATCGTCACCCAAAAGAGCTAGTCATCCAAAAATAACGTTTGCTCGGGGAATCCATTATTTAATGTGTTTACAGAGGCTCTCCCTCTAATGATGCATTATTTAAGCTAATATTAAATTTATACCAAGTTGTTTTGTCTGCACAAATGCTGATCCCCACATGGTGTTGGGTCTTATTCGGTGGCATATGGGGGGATGGATGCTTTTAAGTCCCCCAGGACTGACCCAGAAAGGGAATGAGCATGTCACCTAGCCAGGTTTATCCCTTGGGAAAGTGAACCACTAAACTCCAAGGCAGTCATATCTTCTTTAAAACACTGGAGACTCTCACAGCGTCCCTCCTTCAACCCCATGGGTTTCCCACCCCTAGAGCCCAACAGGGCAAAGGGTTCTTCTGTGTGTCTAGCTGGAATCTGGCCTGCTGTGTTACGGTTCCATTTCCTGGGAGGGGGCTAGCAAGATGTGATTTCCTCCTTCGTGTTTCTCAGATCACACGCTCCTGGGCGCCCCTCGAGCTGAGTTAGAGTCACCCGTGATGGGCCCAGCAGGGCCATTTTGACGACAGTGTTTCCTTTTCTCAGGGTTTTTTATGAGCCTTCCTGTGACAGGCATGCGCTTGGTGAGATCAAAACACGCTGGGGGGAAATCCCAGAGGGGAAACTATTTCCCCAAATCTGCCCTCTGCAAAAATAAAAACCATGCTAAATAGCTGAGTTTTATTAACTGGGGAAGCTAGGCCGAGGAAAACGCCCGATAATTAAAAATAATGGCTTCCTTACAAACACAAAATTGTATTAATTTAAAAATTGGTTTCTCTATCGCTGAATGCCTGCCGAGCCAGCTGAGAAGGGAATTGTGCTGATCCTGGCAGTGAAAATAATTCAAAATAACTTTTATGTTCTCCAGGAAGCCTCAAGGTTAATTTAAATATTGCGAGTCGGGTAATTTAATTTGGAATAAGAGAACAGTGTGGCTAAATTAAAGCCACTGCATGCTCTAAACTGGGGAGCAGGCACCCCCAGAAAGTCGAGCACGCCTGGTGGACCCTCTGCCGGCTCGCCCCACACAACCCCAGCACCCTCCTTATAGACGCTGCCCTTAGAATTAAATATTTTTGATTAGATTACACAACTGGCCTGAACTCTTTGGTGGGGCTTTCAATGAATTTATTACATTTAATTATGAGAAGGGCCAGGCTTTTAATAGAAATCTCACATTTGCCAATGCCAACTGGTGATTTTCCAAACAGCTTTCCTGGGTCGCGGGTGCGCTAGGGAGGCATGTGGGTGCACTGGGGAGGCCTACCCTCCTGAGTGCTTGCTCTGAAGTAATGACTGACTCGTAACAAGGTTCCCAAGAATTCTGAAAGCAGGAAGGAAGGAAGAGAGGGAGGGAGGGAGGGAGGGAGGGAGGAAGGAAGGAAGGAAGGAAGGAAGGAAGGAAGGAAGGAAGGAAGGAAGGAAAAAACAAGCCTCCCTCTTGCTTTGTCTCCCCTCTTCTCAGGCCCTGCAAAGTCTGCTTATAAACCCTGTTCCTCTTAAACTGTTGATTATCCTTTCAAGTCCCAGGCACCTGTGTACCTGTCTCCATCCCCAGGTTCACCGTGTGCTCCACACATCCAGTCTTCCTCTCTTGGGGAGGGTTCCGTGGAAACAGCGAGAGCCTGGCACATCAGGAAGCCCCGAATTTAATCCTCTTGGGCAGCTGCGGAAGTGACCCCCTCAGTACTCAGTCACCACCATTTCTAGGGGCTGCAGAGATGGCTCATTTGGTAAAGTATTTACCTGCCAAGTAGGAGTGCCTGAGTCTGACCACCAGCACCCAAGAAAAAGCTGTGTGCATCAGAGCAGCCTGTAACCCCAGTGCTGGGGAGGTGGAGGCGGTAGCCTGGGTTTGCGCTCTAAGAGGTCTAGCCAAATTGGAGAAACCCTGTCTCACCCAATATTGACATCTAGCCTCTATACATATGTTCCTGCACACACACACACACACACACACACACACACACACACAGATGGGGGGTTCTACAGAAATTGTGAAAATTGAAATAATATGTTACAGAAAGTACCAATGAAAGTATTATGAGATTGTATGTTGCTTTCAAATGCTTGTGACAAAACATAGAAGTAACACAGGCTTGGGGCTGGAGAGATGGCTCAGTGGGTAAAGGCTCTTCCAGAAGACTTGAGCTCAATTCCCAGCACCAGCATAATTCCCATCCCAGGAGATCCAGCACCCTCTTCTGGCTTTCAGAGGCACTGAACTCACAGGGTGAACAGATACACATGCAGACAAAACACTCATACATCTAAAACAAGATGAAACAAAGCTAAAAGAATCAACAAAGGCTTGTATAAGATATAAATTTACATTGTTCTTATGATAAAGCCTAGACGTGACCCATTCATGGATGTGTGGGTGACTGACAGCAAGGGTCCAGGCTATAGTTTTCCTGTTGAACCACCATCTTAGAGATCCCATCTTCAAAAGTCACCTCATGGTGGCTCATACCTGTGGCCTAGTACTTGGGAGACTGAGGCAGAAGGATTACTACAAGTCTGAGTTTGTTGCATAAGCTATGTAAGTAATATAAGCTATGTGAGTTCCAGATGTCTCAAAAAAAAAAAAAAAAAACACCTTGCCTTACCTCATAAACATAAAACAGATGCTGAGGTTCCAGCCATTGCATCCGCATTTCACCTGGGAAAAAGTGGAATATGGGAAGAGCAAAAACTTCAGCTTCTCAGCTTTCTTTCAAGGATAGCTCTTCAGACAGACAGCCACTTCCTTTGTAGGCCCACTCCTATTCCCAAAGGATGCTGGGAAATGCAGGTCCCTGTAGGGCTAACATTATTCTCAGTCTCCCCAAAGTTGCAAAACAGATTCTTCCAGGGCTAAGAGAACATTTTACTGGCTCCTCAACCTCTTATCCATCACCATGTACTTGTTGGAAGTCTGGTCACCAGTGAAGCTGGTCACATGGCAAAAGAGCAGCTGACTAGTTAAGTCTAAGTTCAGACCAACACCTGCTTCACTGCTGCGTGATTGTGTGTGTGTGTGTGTGTCTGTGTGTCTGTGTGTGTGCGCGCGCGCGCGCGTCCAAGCATGGAGACCACAGGAGGACATCCTGCTCTCTCTCTCCACCGTTTTCTTCTTCAGACCGGGTCTGTCACTGACGCTGGCACTTAGGTGGCACCCAGCAAGCCCCATTCCTCCTCCTGTCTTCACCCCCACAGCACGGAGGTAGCTGGCACACGCGGTCACAACGAGCTTTTGACGTGGGTGTGGGGCGGATCTGAACTCAGATCCTCATGGTCGCACAGCAAACACTCTTACCTGTTCAGCCATCTCACGGCCCCGACCGTGTGACTCCAAACAAGTGCGTGCCCTCTGGGTGTCTGCCCGTGTCACGTGGCCTTTGTGAGCACTGAGCGATGGATGCCAAGCCTCTGACCTCACCCCTGTCTGTGTTAGCGCTCAACACATGCGCCTCTCGTCGGCAGTACTGCCGCCATCGCCGCCACCTTCATCAAGTGCAGCTCCATTAGGAGGGTCAGGTGAGGAGGCAGCAGACAGCTCCTGGCTCCTCTCGTGCATGTTTTGTCTCCCCCGCTCCACCCCAGGGACGTGCGGAGTTGCAGTAAATTATGTTGTAAGAGTCTGGGCTGAGCCAGCTTCATTTCATTCTCTTGCAGCCGTGCACTCGGGGCTCTGGGCGTCCCCAGAGTCCTTCTCCTTTGCCCCTAACCAGAGTCTAGTCTCCCGGCTGTGCCTTTTGAGACAATCCTTCTCCTCTGATCAGATCAACTTCTAAATAAATATTAAATTATGTCTGGACGTGTTCCCCTGTTCCTTTCAAATCTAAGTAAATCTCCTTTTCCCTTTGTTGGAATTCACAGCCCTGCCGAGGTTTCCTCAACAGCGTCTTGCGATGGCAAGATTGTCCTCTAGATATTTAAAATAAAAGACTTCCTATTGGACTTTTATAGGTATATTTTTTATCTTTATATTCCCAGATCTTTGTAAAATGTGGGTTGCTGAGGCCTCTGTACCCCCTTTTAGCCACCTTTACACACTATTTCAGAAGAAACCACAGCACCTACTCTTAAAGATTATTAGATCTGGTGACTGGTCCTGAGGGTAGACCGGTAGGGCACTCCAAAGCCTCAAGTCGGGGCTGTGATAGACAGACAGCTGTGTGTTCTGGACACTGCAGGGAGCCACCATGCACACTTTCCAGGACGTGGTGGCAGCCTTTGTAGTTGTGTGGTGCACGAGCGACCATACTGCCCACAGCAGCCACATCTGACCAGAAGCAGCCTCACTTCGGTCCCAAAACACACTGCAAACATTGCCACTTCCTACATGTCCAGAAATGCTGATGTTTAAAACATAAATGGAATATCATGCTTCTTCCCTCCTTCCCACACTTCCTCCTCGATGGCCGCAGCTGGATCCTCCTCAGCCATCTGGTAGATGTCTTTCAAACCAGAACCCTTGTGTTTCCCCAGGTCCATGGGAGGAATCTCCTGTCCATTGATTATGACCGGAACATCCGGACGGAGAAGATCTATGACGACCACCGGAAATTCACCCTGAGGATCATTTATGACCAGGTGGGCCGCCCCTTCCTATGGCTCCCGAGCAGTGGTCTGGCAGCTGTCAATGTCTCCTACTTCTTCAACGGGCGCTTGGCCGGCCTTCAGCGCGGAGCCATGAGCGAGAGGACAGACATTGACAAGCAGGGCCGGATCGTGTCCCGCATGTTCGCCGATGGCAAAGTCTGGAGCTACTCCTACCTGGACAAGGTGGGTGACCATGCTGCACAGCCCATCAGCAGGGCTTCTGCTCCCCCTTCCCACCCACCCTCGTCACTGCTCATTCCCAGCCAGCCTGAGGTACCCAGCCATAAGTCACCTTAACGTCTTTACTAACGCCACAGGGCTCCCCTCGTGTTCCCCCAGCATGGATGGGGAGAAAGAGCCCACAGGAAACTGTTATACTCAGTTATAACTCATTGTTATTACCCTAAAAGAAGAAGGAAAAGATGCTAGACAGTCAGTAATGGCAAAAAAAAAAAAAAAAAGATGAATCATTTTGTTTAATTAAGAAAACAAAAACGAAAACAGAAAAGGCAGTGGGGTCAAATCCAGCAGAGCCATCCACTGACAGCAAGACAAAGCATTACTTATGAATTAGGGACTTGCTGAGTCACTTCTGCTTGCCCTGAATTAAACCACTAGGGGCGGGAAGTCTGCTGGAAACTAGAATACACACAGCTACGTCTTCCGGCTTTGGCCAAAGCAGCCAGCAGATCCTCTCTGCCTAGTCCCTTGTATCTGGCAGTACCAACTTGGGGATCCTTGCTGGAGAATAGTCCTAGTGGAAGAACAGAATGAAGAGGTCCCTTAAGAGCACTTGCCGTGACCTTAAATGCTGCCCTGAACATCTAGTCCCTGGGCAGGTCCTTCCATTTGTTCTACCTTTGATATAGACTAAGAGTCTTCCTTTTTCACAAAACCATTAAATGGAAAACTCACAGGGGCTAGGGAGATGACTCAGTGGATAAAGTGCTTGCCACTTGCGTATAAATCCCCAGAATCAGGCAGAGTGGTGCACACTTGTAATCCCAATGCTGGGGGACTGAGGATGGAGACAGGAAACTCGTGGAAGCTTGCTGGCCAGTCAGCCTAGACAAAATGGTAAGGTTAGGTTAGTGAGAGACCCTATTTCAAAACGCAGAGTGGTACCACACACAACAGTACATACCTTTAGTCCCAGCCCCTGCAAGGCAGGTACAAGCAGATCTCGGTGAGTGCCAGGCCAGCCAGGGCTACGCAGTGAGGTCCTGTCTCAAAAGTACATACATGCATAAATACAAAAACGAAGGGGAAAAAGTTCCCTACCCTCCATGACTTTTGGACTGACACACAGGGAAATGGGGTTAATTCTAATACTTGGGTGCTTGGTCAAAAAAGGTCAGCTCATCTGTTCCTATTTCCTCCCCAGTCCATGGTCCTCCTGCTGCAGAGCCAACGTCAGTACATATTCGAGTATGACTCATCTGACCGCCTCCACGCCGTCACCATGCCCAGTGTGGCCCGGCACAGCATGTCCACACACACCTCCATTGGCTACATCCGAAACATTTACAACCCGCCTGAAAGCAACGCGTCCGTCATCTTTGACTACAGCGACGATGGCCGCATCCTAAAGACATCTTTCTTGGGCACGGGGCGCCAGGTGTTTTACAAGTACGGGAAGCTCTCCAAGTTATCGGAGATCGTCTACGACAGCACAGCCGTCACCTTCGGCTACGACGAGACGACCGGCGTGCTGAAGATGGTCAATCTCCAAAGCGGGGGCTTCTCCTGTACCATCAGGTACCGGAAAGTGGGGCCCCTTGTGGACAAGCAGATTTACAGGTTCTCTGAGGAAGGCATGATCAACGCCAGGTTCGACTACACCTATCACGACAACAGCTTCCGCATCGCCAGCATCAAGCCCGTCATCAGTGAGACGCCCCTTCCCGTTGACCTCTACCGCTATGATGAGATCTCCGGCAAGGTGGAACACTTCGGCAAGTTTGGGGTCATCTACTACGACATCAACCAGATCATCACCACCGCTGTCATGACGCTCAGCAAGCATTTTGACACGCACGGGCGCATCAAGGAAGTGCAATATGAGATGTTCCGGTCCCTCATGTACTGGATGACAGTGCAATACGACAGCATGGGCAGGGTCATCAAGCGGGAACTGAAATTAGGACCCTACGCCAACACCACAAAGTACACCTACGACTATGACGGGGATGGCCAGCTCCAGAGTGTGGCAGTCAACGACCGGCCCACCTGGCGCTATAGCTATGACCTCAATGGGAACCTGCACCTGCTAAACCCGGGAAACAGTGCTCGCCTCATGCCCCTACGCTATGACCTCCGTGACCGGATAACCAGGCTGGGAGACGTGCAGTACAAAATCGACGATGACGGCTATCTGTGCCAGCGAGGGTCGGACATCTTCGAGTACAATTCCAAGGGCCTGCTGACAAGGGCATACAACAAGGCCAGCGGGTGGAGCGTGCAGTACCGCTATGATGGCGTGGGCCGGCGGGCTTCCTACAAGACCAACCTGGGCCACCACCTGCAGTACTTCTACTCTGACCTCCACAACCCCACGCGAATCACCCATGTCTACAACCACTCCAACTCCGAGATCACCTCGCTCTACTATGACCTCCAGGGCCACCTCTTTGCCATGGAGAGCAGCAGCGGGGAGGAGTACTACGTCGCCTCAGATAACACGGGGACCCCTCTGGCTGTGTTCAGCATCAATGGGCTCATGATCAAGCAGCTGCAGTACACAGCCTACGGGGAGATTTACTATGATTCCAACCCTGACTTTCAGATGGTCATTGGCTTCCACGGCGGCCTCTACGACCCCCTCACCAAGCTTGTCCACTTTACTCAGCGTGATTATGACGTGCTGGCGGGACGGTGGACATCCCCCGACTATACCATGTGGAGAAATGTGGGCAAGGAGCCGGCCCCCTTCAACCTATACATGTTCAAGAACAACAACCCGCTCAGCAATGAGCTGGATTTGAAGAACTACGTGACAGGTAAGACTTGGCTTCGGGGGACAGCAGTAACTCCCTGGGAGGTGGCTGTCCTGGGAGACTGCTGGCCATCTGGGGGAGGGTCTTACCCTTGCTGGATAAACTCTAGCACTGGCAACCCAGGGCACTGCAGGATCATGTCCAGGAAAATGAAGGGACCGTGAAGCAGGTGTTCTGGGGCATTTTCTGACCACTTCACATCTGTTCTGTTGAAATAACTTTTCTGAGAGCCCTTCCTAGCCCAGCAGGACTCAGCTGACAGAAATGCACAGTTCAAATTCTCTCTCTCTCTCTCTCTCTCTCTCTCTCTCTCTCTCTTTCTTCCTCTCACTCTCCCTCTCTCATTAGTAAACCAAAAGGCCTAGTGCTAGTGGCCCAGTCTCTGTAAGGAGTTTCCTTCTCTGTGAAGCGCACCCTATGGAGGAATAGTGAGAAGTAAGGGAACTTTTCTTCTAGGTAAAGCCCTGGCCTGACTTATCCCTCTGTCAATGATATCACTACTAGCCAAGCAGTGAGTTAGCACAAACGCCTAAGCCCCTGCTCCTGACCTTCAGAGGTGTCCCTGGTGAAACACATACGGAAAGCAAGTATTGTCGCAGATAGAAAGAAGTCTCTGTTCCCAGAGATGTCTGCTCAGTTATGTACCCAAAAAGTAGAGTAGTACCATGGGAGATTTTTAGGATACAGCAGTGGATAAGTAACACACTTAGTTACACTCAAGTAAGTGTATACTGTGTGTGTGTGTGTGTGTATGAGAGAGAGAGAATCTGTGTGTATATGCTGGCATTTGTGTCTGTGTATAAGCATCTGTGTGTGTGTGTGTGTGTGTGTTCATATTTTTGAAGACATGGCACAATATAGAAGGGCTTGTGTCAAACTGAGCCTGAAGAAGGAGCGTGAGCTATGCTGACTCAAGGCTGAAAAAAGGATAAACAAAAAGTCAACAGGACACAAGAAGCTTGCACACAGGCACGTAAGGAGGCACTGTGGAGGAAAGATGATCTACTTCGCAGGATAAGCCAGAAGTTGGTGAAATGAGGTTCCCTGCCCACTCCTCTGTCCATCCATCCATCTACTCATCCACCCATCCAGAAAAGATGCTGGAGCTCTTGGGTGTAGTAAGTGTAAGACAGTCAGGAACAGGACAGAATGCTTGTCCTCAGGGAAGATAGAAGACAACGAAATGGGGATGTGTAGATGGATGCAGTATTGGACAGATCGGGTCCAGTAGGGCCAACTTCCCGCAAGCAGGTGAGCTCATCTGGCTGTGCATGCCACAGGAGAAGAATGAAGGAAACCCAAGACCAGGGCTTCCAAAGTTCCAGGAGACCATAGCTGTACCCACTCTCAGGAGATGACCTGTCCATCCCCCAGAATGGGAAAGGAAGCCAGAGCTGCCTGAAGCCCAGGGCGGCCTTGATGCCTCTCACAACAGTTATTCACTTCTAGGATCAACTGTGGCAATTTGCACACCTTTAGGAACCAAAACCAGCATCTCCAGCCAAGCAAAGCAGCTGGAGCCTGTGGCTAAAGCTGGCTCCTCCCTGTGTCTCATCGGGAGCTGCCTGCTCTGATGCCCTGCCAAGCCTTCCTCTCTCCCCCATTGTTTGGCAGGACTTTGTCTCCAACTCACTACTGTTTCCAATTAAAATATCTCTAGGAAAACCCTACACACACACACACACACACACGCACACGCACACGCACGCACACCCACGCAGGTGCACAATGGTAAGTGCTATGAAGACAAATAAAACAGGACAAGGGGGTTACCGGAAGAGCGGTAGGAAGTGCCCCTTTATTTAGAAAGCCTGGCTGTGAGGGTGACATTTCTGTAGAGACCTTTTCGAGTCGGAGGAGAAAAGAGAAGCATATTTGAGAAGACACCCAGTGACGGTGAAGGCAGAGCACAGCGGTCTCAGCTTGAAGAACGAAGGAACAAATCCTGTCCCGCACAAATACGCCTCACACTGCCTTGTTTAACACTGGCCTTCCTAGAAATTACTCAGCCAGAAGTGAGCGAAGAGAAGCCCATAGAAGGGGCCACATAGATACCTGCTGCTCCCAAGGAAAAAAAACAAAACCTTTCACAGACTCATCAAGACCCTCAGCCCTGTTCCTACTTCTCTGGGGGGGGGGGAAAGAAAAATGTGATTATCAGGGTTTTCTGAACAGCAAGATGGCTTTCCTAATCTCAGGGCTTCATGGAGACTGGATAAGTGGGAATCAAATCAATTTGAACGAAGTCCAGCCAAATTGAATCCAGAAACAATTAGAGAGAGTCTAAAATAAAGGGCGGATTCACAGAAGCTACAGCGGCAGCTGAGAAAGGGAGCTGGGAGAGCAGCCAGGGCAGGCAGGACCACACCTGCAGCCTCCTGTTCCCACCAGCTGACCCTTGCAGAATGGGCTCAGCAAAGATGAGCCATTCTAGCGCTGGCTCACCCGCACGCCCTGTCTAAATCAGCCTTCATTTGCCGCTTAGGAGACTCGCAGAGTGGTTGGACCTGCTACTCACAACCTAAGTGGAAGAGGCAATTAAAATGTAGTCAGGACAGGACAGCCAGGCCGACACAGAGAGATTCTGTCTCGAAAAGCAGAATTAAAAAAGACGTAAGGAGGAACACAAAGAATGGACCATCGTTCTCTCTCTCTCTGGAATCCAGAAGAGTCCATGCTGTTTGGAAACAGCTCTCTGAAAGAAAGTAGACTGTTCCTGATGTAGAAAATGCTCCAAGTCCATCCAAGAACACTGGCGCAGGGGAAATCACACAGAGGAAACTTCTCAATCTTGGACACAGTCAACCCGTGCCAGCCGGAGCACTACCTGTCTTCCACCACGTCCTTCTGACGTCAGAGTCTGAGTACGTTCCCCAGACACCAGTTCTGGCCTTACCACTCGCTTGCTGTGTGACTTACACGAATGTCTCAGGCTTTCTGATCCTTAGTCTCCCCAACTGCAAAATGATGGTAACAATTACACTCAGCTCACGGAGTATGAAAACAGCGACTCAGCCAGGCACACTGTGAGGGCTGATCACACGTTCATCAACAAGAGGGGCAGTGGAGTAGAGACAGGCTAGATCCTGTTCTGGGAATCTGGGAGAAACCTCCAGAGGTACTTTCAGACTGAGCTAATGTGTCCCTTTAGTAAGGGATAAGCCCCAGACACTGGAGGTAAATAAACATTCTAGAAGGAGTGTAGTGAGCCATGTTCCCTTTTACCCTTCCTCCCTGAAGAGTCTTGAATGCACAAGCCAGAGGTGTGCTACAGCAGAATGAGACTGTGTCTTTAATCTCTCTGAGGAAGCCACACCCATTTCAAGTCACCTTCTTTGCATATTTACCCTCAACACTGAAAGGTGCTAAGACAGTTGTCAGAGAGTGTACAGTGGTGGTGGTGGCAGCGGTGGCAGCGTGGCAGTGGTGGTGGCGTGGTCCCGTGCTGCGAAGAGTATATGAAAGAAAAGGTAGCTATGAGGAGCGGCTGTGTTGCTAGCACCCGCCTCATGATCATGCCTCTGGACAGGCTGTTTGTTTAGGGGACCTGTCTTCCATCACACTTGCCATCCAAAGGGACTAGAAGGACCTTCACTGCCCCTGAAGGGGCCAGGATATGACGCATGTCTTAAACACAGGTTTACCATGAGAAACAAAGTATCAGAAACTTCAGAGACTCTCAGCTTAGGAGTGAGGAAGGATGGAAGGAAGGAAGGAAGGAAGGAAGGAAGGAAGGAAGGAAGGAAGGAAGGAAGGAAGGAAGGAAGGTTAAAAGAACAAGAGGAAGAGAAAGAACGAGGCCGACAAGGAAAAGGAGAAGGATAAAGGAGCTAACCTAACAGGTCCCATTTGCATGAGTGCTCTTTAAAATCCCTGTTCTTGGGCAGGCGAGATGTTTCAGTGGGTAGAGGCGTTTGCTGACAAGCCTGGCAACTTGAGCTCAATCCCAGGGACCCACATGGCGGAGGGAGAGAACCAACCCCCACAAGTTGTCCTCTGGCCTACACTAGGCTGTGGCAGGAACTCCCTCCCCGGAGAAGTAAGTCTGCTCTAAAGCAAGAGACTGCTCACAGAGGACAGCATGGGGTAGGACGGGAGCTCCTCATTTGAAGGAGGAGGATGGTGAGGACAAGGACTTCGCATGCTTTTCCTGACATTCCCCACAAGTCCTGTCTGTCTCTGGTGAAATTTGGGCAGGTTTACATGGTACACAAACGAGGGGTTCAGTGTCATGAGCACTGGGGCCGGGGGTAGTCACTTCTCAGGGTCTCGGAGCTCCATCACTTAGTGCTGGCATGTAGCAACCCCCCCTTTAACATCTTTCAGCCAAGAGAGCTGGTTTAAGGCTCACTCTCTGGCAGAGCCCACAATGGGGTTTGCAGGAAAGCGCATGGCTTCGTCTCCTCTCTTTCAGTTTTACAGTTAGTTTTTGGTTTGTGTGGCAACAGTGGGGAGGTCCTTTTCTAAATGCATCTTCCCAAGTTTAAAAAAAAGAGGGGCACATTTGTTTTTTAGGTTAGTAAATAAATGATAGTGCAGGTGACACCTGGAAGTGGTATAAAATGTCATGACAAGTGGCCATAAATATCCCAAGAAGGAAACCAGTGTCCTGTCCACCTGCCACCTGCCTGGCCACAGTGGGCGGGCTGCTAAACTAAAGCCAGGCATTTATGCTTGAGCGNCTGCTAAACTAAAGCCAGGCTCTCTCTCTCTCTCTCTCTCTCTCTCTCTCTCTCTCTCTCTCTCTCTCTCTCTCTCTCTCTCTCTCTCTCTCAGTGTGGTGTGTGTATGCATGTGTATGTGTGCGAGTGTGTATGTGTGGTATGCTTTGCATGTTTATGTACATGTTTGGAGCAATGTTTCTTTCCCAGTCTCTCTCCGCCTTATCTTGCTGGGCCTGGAGCAAGCCCTGGGGACCTGCCTGTGTCTGCCCCCTCAGCTCTAGGATTACAGGCATGTCTGCCATACCCAGGACTGCGTGTGGGTGTGGGTATCTGAGCCCA